AAAATTTTTAAGTAAGTAATTAAATTTAGTTTTTTTTTTAATTGGTAAGTTTGTTTAACTATTTTTAGATTTAGAGACCCACATTATTCTCCGAAGTATTCTTGCCCCATTGGGATTTATGGGCAGAACAACTAATTAAATAACTTAAATAATACTTATATCCACACAACTAGTGTCTTAATTTAAAATCAAATGTAAAAATACTAATTAAGCTTTATTGTGAGGGTCAATGACAAAGTAAAAAAGATGTCCTGATAACTGCGCTCGATTTTGTGGATGCCTCTGCGAACACCAACTACCTAAGAAAACCTAATACCTAAGAGAACTTGATGAAGCCTACGTAAGCTGATTTTAAACATACCAATAAGATATTAGTGGAATTTTATTATAAGTCCACAGCATGTGTAACGTTTGGAAATCGGTCTTAATAACCTGTGAATGAACATTTTTTTTATATAGGGAATAAGATAACCTTGATATGGCATGGTAGATCCAGCAGCATAGTAAGCAATAAAAATTTAATTCTTTGTTTTTAATTTTAGTGTTATTTGAACCCAGTCACAAGACCTGATTATACAGATTTTATTTATACCTATATTACCTTTTGTGAGTAATTTCAACATCCTACAAGACCTTCTGGCAAAAATAGGTAAATAAATCTAGGATGGAGTTTGTAAGAGCTGCCAATATAGCTTTATATTTTTTTCTAAGATATTTCACTTAAAAATAATGAAGCAACAACTAATTATATTTCTAAATGTAACACATTTATTTTAGTAACAACCAATTTAAGTCAGATTATTTCTTAATATATAGGGATTAGGGAATGCATTATCAAACCCCTTGACAAATGTTTATATCGCACACTTCATAACACTATTTTAATCAAGATAAATGGGAATCATATCTAGTCCCAGCTGCTATGCTTACTTACTTAGACAATAAATTTTAATTTTATCCTACAGAATAGCAATCCAACTGACTGACGGCCAGTATGTGCATGATGGCGGCTTGTCGGGGTGACACCTTGTCGCCTATACGTGCGTGGTGGCGGGTAGACGCCATCGTACATGGAGCGTCCACGGCAACCGCCAACACTGATGAAAACTGTTGGTGGTGGGTTTTCGTATGGTGGCGCCACGACTGGAGTGTGCATAGTACATGACAACCCGTCACCTCGGGTTTTTTTGTGGCGGCGGGTTGTTGCCTCTGACAAAAACACTGAGAAATCGTAAATCAGAAACTTTTATTGTTGTAATTTGGAAGGTACATGCATTATGACAAAGACAACAATGAGGTTATAAATTCAACTAAGAAATAAAAACCAAGACACGCCATAAAATAAATAGCTACAAACATTATTGTGAATTGATGCAATGCACAATCAATTGAATAGTTTGGGCAGTCACAATAAATCAAAATAATTATCATGCTATGCATTGAGCCTATATAAGAAACAATCTCAGTAAAAAAGGTCTAAAACAATGTACAAACAGATCATATGGTTATGCTCAACATGCAAATAAGTAAATATAGAGACTTTCAGGCACTGAGCAAAGAATTAAGGCATATCAAAATATCATGCTAATGAAATTTTACTGAAAAAATCTCCTCTAGGCTTAGGCTATAAAAGGGCCTTTGAGCAATCCACCCATGTAAAACATTCTTAAACCTATACTTATGCTAACATTACGTGCTGTACTAAGTAGTTTATTGGACATTCCTACAATAACAGCAACAACAAGATTCAAGTTCAACAAGAACAAGTCCTACATAGCTAAATCACTTTTATTTTATTTTGACAGTCACAAAAGGTACATCTAGCGAATATCTGTCGAGGTGGCGAATTGTCGTGGTGGCGCCTTAATGGCGACTCTTCCATCCGATGTCACCTCCTTTCTCCTTATGTTAACAATTAAGGTGGTGTCGTCTGCAGATAACAGAATAATGTAGATCTAGCCTGCACTCTACCCGTCGGGTGCGCGCAAATGCAAGGGTTTTGGTTCTTAAAGCCTAGTCAACATATGGAGACTGAGTCGGGAGTCGGCCGACTTACTGCCGACTGTGCGCGGACGACAACATAGTTTCGGATACAAGTTTCCGATGTGTTTTGCGTCCACACTAACCAGCCAGTGTTTCTGCGGTTTTTGATATGGCGACCAAAGAGTGCGTAATTTATATCCCGTGCGGGCTTCAGAACCATAGGGCTAAGAACCTAGGAATAGGCAATGATGGACCCACTGGACAACATTTTCTCGAGCAAGGTTCGTACTATGGCACGGCCGCCTTTAACTCCGGGCCGCGGCCTTCGAACTGGCAACGTCGCAAGTGGTGCTGTAACAGCTGTTTTGTTTGGAAGCAGCTAATGGTATTTGTGTATTTACGAAAGATTGGTTACTGTCCGCGAGAGTAAAGAAGTCCCCTGAGCTCCGGCCTATTCGTAGTTTGAAGGCGTTACGCTTGAACGTTTCGCGGGACAATAAGAGCCGTCTTCACTCTTCACGCGGTATGACGCGTTCATATCAGGTAACACACCATCGACGTCTACCCTTTGCCAACATTTCTGGAACGTTAAATTATTGCCCATCCAAGTTTCGTCCAGATAGAAAATTTTCTTATTTTGTTCTCTTAGCTTTCTTATCTCTCGCAAATACTTAAACCTCCAATTAATAATGTCAGGCCTTTCAATCAAACATTTTCTTTTGGAATCGCATTTCTTCCACTTTAACCCCATACTTATCTTTGAAAGGACGCCGAAGTGCCCATTCGTACCATTTAAAATTAATCCTTTCTCTCAAAACAGATAATAGTTTTTTCGCTACACTACTGTGAAATAACCTGTTTTCGTTCCATGATTATCAACTGCGAAAATCCATCATTACATCATTTACCACGGCAAAAGAATATTAACTATCTTTTTTAGATTTTGCCGACGTAATCAAACAAATATTTAGTATTGCTTTATCAACGGTTTAATTTTTCTGAAAAGTAACGTTCAAATCACGTTTTTTCGAATTCGTTTAATAGTTTTTTATGACATTATTTACAATAGTTTGCGGCAAGTTCTGTTACCTTTTCTATCGGCACTGATCACTTTTTGTCTTTACATTCATTGTCACAATACTCAATCACCCGTCTAATTAAATCCCTCTCTCCACTACATATATAGTAGCACCATATTTTGATAAATCCATAGCTGCAAGGACTGTCCAAAACAAAACAGAACTCCAATACGCAATCATACGAGACTGCACTGAATCAAATGACGTGACCACATGATGATAATCCACTTACCAAAACAAAGATATGAGTAATTATGTTTACAACAGTTGTTTACAGACAGACATCGAGGCGAGGCGCCCAGATGCTTAGCGCCTGCAAATAGTGCGCGATACCCTCCAAACATAGCTGCGTATCGCTCTGGCTCAAGGGACTTCTTTACTCTCGCAGACAGTACTGTACTGGACTATGATAATATTGACTCCGCTTAAAATGTACGGATCTAGATTTGTAATTCATATGGTTTCGGTTTTCAATTCTGTATGTTTTATTTTCAATATTTTAATACATTTATGTTCATAAATTTAAATTTATCAATAGATTGCGAAATAATGAGCTTATGTAACCTGTCTGCCATCTTATGGGCTGTCACTGAACACCACTTATGTGACGTTGCCAATTCTACCAGGCCGCGGCCTGTAGTTAAAGGCGGCCGTGACTATGGTCACAATCTTCTATCAGACCTTCAGATTAGGTGAAAGTTTTAGTAACTCACTAGGTTGACTTCCAAAGATTTTGAACTTTTGCTGGTTGGACCTAAAATTTCAAACTTGAAGAGATGAACAATTCAAAAAATGTCATATAGGCCTAATAATATAAATTATTGAAAATTAATTCCAAAACTTTTAAGAAACTTAATCCAGCTCTTTTAATACCGCCCAAAAATCGTCATATTAGGCCTACCGCTTTTCAGTCCAACTAAATGGGCTGAATGTTGAACACATTCGGCTTGGATCCAGTCTCCTGTCTCTAGACACGTCCACACATGCAGACTTGGGACAAAAGTTTTGTCTCTTGTCTCTGTGTTTCCCATTCGAAAGGGGAAACAGCAAACAGAAAACACTGTATATTGTCTCCAGAAACACCAAAATTTGTCTGTCAACGTAGGCGGACAGTCGGCCTACTTACTGGAGACATCGCTGGAGACAAATGGCAACACTCCGGAGACAGTCGGCAGACAATGTTTCCGCAGACAAATCGCCATGTGTGGACGAGGCTTTACTGTTTGTAGACCCAATTAATTGTGAACTGATTTAAAAGATCGTTAAATATTTTTGTAGGTCCAGCGCTTTTTAAATTTTGTTTTTAAAATTTTGGGCTAAAAGGTTAGTAAAAATGTTAAAATACGCGTTTTTTATCGCACGTCTTAACACATACAAATAATTTTTAGAGAAAAAAAATAACAAACGGGGTAAGTGCAATAGATTCTTAAAAATAATAATCTGCATTTAGTTTACTAAAAGGTGGATAAAGATGTAATCACCCAGATTCAAAAGGCTTGCAAGCGCTCTTCATGGCATGGCACTGTTCAGTGCAATGTTATAGGAACTAGAAAAATCGGTGTTAAGCAACATCGCACTGAGACACGACTGAGAAGTCCAAGCCGAGGTAGACCGCACCCTTAAGCCATAAGTTATTTATCATGAGACTAAAGAGGATTGGGCCTAACAGCGAGCCCTGCCCTGAGGACTGAGGAGGCACCCCATGTTGGACGTCCTTATTGAACATCTTTCTCTGTTGAGCATGAATTTTAATGTTCAGAGGAAAATAAATATTCTTATTGTTATTACAGTATCCATCGACCAACAGATACTGCTAACAAGATGGCACTGATATGGAAGAATGGAATTTTGTTGTATTTTGAACTGTCTGAGGCTATTACAAAATCAGTGTTTATACGGATACTGATCATAGAGGCCTTAGCATTTGGCAAAGTTGAAGTTGAAAGTACCTACCTACCTACTCTTTTTTAGTTGCTATTTGCCATAGGTAGCTCAAACATAAATGTGATTTATTTTCATTGCTCTGTTTTGTGTTTAATAAAGGAGTTAATTCCGAATTATAAGTTTAAATTTATCTGTGATATTACATTTGCACACCTACCGATCCAGCAATGTTCAACTTGAAGGTAAATAAACAACCTAACCTATATTTCTCCTTCGTTATAGTAATTTAGACGTAAGCACAGTTATTTGGGCTTCTTGTCGCATTAATATCAATTTTTGGGGATATTTCAGTTCTGAAGAGCATTAGCATAATATTTTTGCTCAGAATTATCTAGATGGTAACCTCACAATATTGTTACCAGAATAGTTAAGCCTAGGCTAGGCTAGGCCTGTTTCTTTTTAGTCAGGACTTTTTTTTACCTTATAGGGCTACCTGGTCCTCTTCACTATAGTCGTAGAGACTAGGGAATCTTAATATTTTTTGTAATTTTAGTGTTTGGTGTGTATGTACTGAGGCTATTTCTGATTTCTGATGCTATTGTGGGTTCCTTATGGGGCCTATCTTTATTTTGAGCGAGTGTGCTCTTCGAAGAACTTTATGGTTTTTGGAGATTTTATCAGTTTCATATGTTCTGGGAGAGCATTAACACTTTTTCGGTCCCACGATTTGAGGCATTTTACTAACTAAGTTTTTGACAAATTAAGTTAGCGTAATTTAAGTTATGTTGTTGGATATTGAAATTTTTTTGTGTGTTTCTTCTTAAGTTATATCTCTAGCAGTTTTCTCTAAGCTTTGGAGGGTTTAGTTTTAGGAGGTTTAAATCTTCAAGGATGCAAAGGGTTGTTACAGTAGGTAAGATTGTTCTTGATGAAGTATGGTTTACAATGATCTTGTGGTTGTAGATTTTCAATGTTTCTTATGAAATTTTTTGTAGAATTTGGATTGTTTAGATGTAGGTATCAATCCGCTGCTGTTCCCCAGGCAAAACACACCCAAACACAAAACATTCCCAAGCGCAAGTCTCTTTTTAATGTATATCTTTCTATCTTCTCGTAACATTATTTTTGGTCAAATTAACTAAGCATGTTTTATATTATATTTGTATCAAGCATCAAGAAACTCTATACAGTATGTAAAATGGTTATTGACATATAATAAATAAATAAATAAGAGTGATTCGAAAAGAGTGCAGAGAAGGCTAGATATATTCGAAGAGTGTGTGTGTAGTAAGATATTTTTGAAGTGTTTTATCTGATATGGCGAGTAGTTTGACATTTATAAAATTGCTATATGTAGGCCTAACTTAAGCTTCAAGTTAATATGCATTTATTAAGAAATTAAATTAAGTTTAGACTTGTCCCAAATTGTATTGATAGATTAATAGACCAAAACCTTTTTGTTAACACAATAAGCTATGCTTCAGATAATGGCCACCGATTTGAAACTGGAAAATTCTGGACACCCTAGACAATTGGACCTTAACTTAAAATATTTGTGCGTATTTACAAGTCCTAAACAGTCACACTTGTCATAACACTATTTTATTCAAGATAAATGGGAATCATATCTGTTCCCAGCTGCTACACTTACTTACTTACTTACTTAAAATACTCGATCTCTTCATCCTTGACCAACAAAAGTTGGATAGATTGTGTCATTATAGATTACCATACAAAAAACATTATATACATATGCAATTAAAAACTTAACTGACGGATGTGACTTTTATGGGAAGGCGAGAGTGGTTTGTCAAACAGTTCTTTTATTGAATACAAGGGCCTGCTATACTATAACAGGATAAAACCTATACTTACCTATACAGGAATTATGCTATAGGCCTACTATAAAAATGGAGTGTTCCGTTGAAATGTAAAATAAAAAAAAAATAATAAAATAACGCTGCTGGTATATTATAAGATTCCCTGGTTTTAACCTGTCGCCATATTTCGTACAATGTTATAAATAGTCATCAATTTGTTAAAATCCCCCTGTAAACCATGGATTTCCTCCCTCCGTTTATGAGACGGCTGGCCTAAGCAAATAGTCTCTGCCTGTTGATTTAGCAGAAATGAAATCAAAAGTTTAGTTGGTAACTTTAACTTACAACACCAACTCAGAACGTGTGTTCAATTTAAACTTGGTTAGCCTATAAAACATTTTTGAAAATTTGTGACAAAATTTTGGTGACTGAGACAAAGAAAAAGGTATTTACTGAACACAGACTATTCCTGTCTCATGAAAGCTGTTTTAAACACCTTAACTTTGAGGAGAGAACCCAGCATTAACGGAGTTAATTCAGAGATTTGGGGACACGTTTGTATCTTACACTTTGACTCAAATTTATTGGCTGAGACCAACAACAACTACTATAGGTCCATGGATCTGTCAGCAAAGTCCTTGGAGGGTGATCATCATTGCCACATAAAATAAATATTTGAGTAAAATTTGGACTTTGGAAAGAAAAATCACAGGATTAATTTTTCCAAAGTAGTAGGCCTAATCAATCTATTTAATTAGGCTATATATGTTTCATCCAATTTATTAAGGACCTAAAATCTTGTGGGGATGTGATTCAAAGCAAGTAGGGCTACAGTTATAGGTCTACCTCGGAATTCCAGAATCATGTACCGCTAATCACTAATTTAATAGGTTACTCCACACTATTTTCCATTAAATTTTGTACAGATTATAATTATTTTATGCTTTAAATGAGATAAATTATTACAAGTTTTAGTATGCGGTATACATAAACAAGTAAACTACAACAGTTTTCATTTTCTCCATAAGAATAATATGGAAACTTTAAATTACACTTTTTTTTAATTTTCTCTGTGATATTAGGCATACATAGGTGCTTAGTTTATTTTATGGCTACTATAGTTTAATTTTTTAGGTGGAGCACTCGTTCTACAGCTGTTGTGGTGGAAAGTGTTCTGAGTGACTAAGTGGCTATTTACCACTAAAATGACAGAAAACACTAGTACGGCCACAGGGCATCACAATTCCACACAATATGGTTCAAAAGTGATAAGAACTCCATCTTTAAAAAGGGGGAAGTCTGAAGAACCAATGTCTCATAGGGTAAGTTTTTTTTATATGCATAGTTTGTAAAATAAATTGTACACGTTATAAATAAACATTAGTGATAGCTGAATGCGAAGGAGGCCAATAAGAATATTGGTTTGTATCTCTTTCGAGAACAAAGGCCGAGTTACCATCATGGCCATGAGCAGACTGTGAACGTAACGTACTACTGTCGGGGAAATAAATATGTGCACTCGAGTTTGAGCCTAAATATCTCTGAGATGAATTATCCGATTTTGTTGAAACAAAAATTAAATGTAAGCTTGTTTAAATACATTTTACGTGGTAACAATTTAAAAATTTTCCGTTTACCAGAAAAATTTATATAATTGAAAGATCCTAAAAAGTACCGGTTTTTAAGGAACTCTGCACTAACACTGAAGTTTAAAAATTAATTGTAAACAAACCACTGAGCCAATCTTTCTGAAAATTGTATGGCTTATTGGTAGGTTTATTGTTAACATTTCCATGCATTTTAAAATTTTTAGTCACAATAGTTTTTATGCTGCTGTTAATTTTTAAAACCTATGCTAACATCGTTAATAAGACGCTAAAAATTTCGTTCAAAATACCATCGTGTTTGTCGTGACACAAGAAATAACACCAATATGATAGATTTATAATGCGAACAAAGGTGTTTTTTAAACAGATTTATATTTGTAAACAAAAATTTCTCCCGCGACTGGTAGCGGGCCGCCTGGTGTTTGTACGATATTTCCCAGCCGGGTGGGAGCGCGGCGCATCTGCGACGTTGCCGATGTGTATCTGGCCACCACACTGACGAAAGAAACAAATCGCAATAACTATCATCTGTATTTCACCACCGGAAAAATTCCGGCGAGGAGGCATTTTCGAATAGATGTTACCAGTGTAAAAATCTAAGACGAACTGGTTAGCTTGGTTAGTCATCTCTCATAGCGACCATAATTCAAGAAAGCGGGGAGCTAATGTTTACATTCCATTACTCATCGGATATTCCAGCTTAACGCAACACTTCCCGGAAAGGGTGATGACCGCTCCGATTTCTACTCTCAGTTGTATATTTAAAAGTGGCAAATTAAAGAAGCCATAAAATAAATACTGGTGGAAAATATTTACTTGGCATTTAGCTGTTATAATTTTTTAACTAGCTCAATCAACACAAAACAGTTGGCTTGTTGCCTGTAATACAAAATTAATTTTTCATACTACCATAGTTAACTTATTAAAATGTATTTGTTTCATGACTAGTTAATTAGAATATTTTGTTAGTAAATTTATGTTAATAATTTCAAACTAAATATTGATATACACAGTTGTTTGCCGTGAGTGAATACCGATGCAATGTCAGTGTGGTGGGCAGGTACACATCGGCAACGTCGCAGATTCGCCGCGCTCCCGCTCGACTGGGAAATATCGTACAAACACCAGGCGGCCCGCTACCAGTCGCGGGAGAAATTTATGTTTACAAATATAAATCTGTTTAAAAAACACCTTTGTTCGCATTATAAATCTATCATATTGGTGTTCTTTCTTGTGTCACGACAAACACGATGGTATTTTGAACGAAATTTTTAGCGTCTTATTAACGATGTTAGCATAGGTTTTAAAAATTAACAGCAGCATAAAAACTATTGTGTCTAAAAATTTTAAAATGCATGGAAATGTTAACAATAAACCTACCAATAAGCCATACAATTTTCAGAAAGATTGGCTCAGTGGTTTGTTTACAAATAATTTTTAAACTTCAGTGTTAGTGCAGAGTTCCTTAAAAACCGGTACTTTTTAGGATCTTTTAACTATATAAATTTTTCTGGTAAATGGAATATTTTTAAATTGTTACCACGTAAAATGTATTTAAACAAGCTTACATTTAATTTTTGTTTCAACAAAATCGGATTATTCATCTCGGAGATATTTAGGCTCAAACTCGAGTGCACATATTTATTTCCCCGACAGTAGGCCTATGTCAGCGTGTGACAGTGTTGAATGTAAGTTTTTGTGTCGAGTGAGTAGTGAAGTTTTACGACTGGAGACCCACCTAAATTGATTGAGTTGGTCAATTTAGAACCTATTGAAGTAAAAACATTACCCATTGAAATCGTTTGCTATTTTAGTCTTGATGTCCGCATTACTCGAAGAACCAGGTAAACATTTTTCAAATAGGTTCCTTTTTTACAAAGATCATTTCTTATTTTTATCAAGTTTGTTTTTCGTTTGTTTTTTTTTATGAGTGTTACAAACAAAGACATACAGAACCGCGGTGCGATGCTTGGAACTAGAGGGTACTAGGCAGAGGAGTGGTGGGGTGGCCGCCATCTTGGGGAGAGAGGCCTGGTGCACTCCATATGGCCAGTGCCGCCTTTATTTTTAGTCTGTGCTCTGTGATCAAAACATATCCCCTGGCATGACAACTGTGAGATAAAAAAAAAGTTGGCTTCAAAACATTTTTCTTGTTGAATTTTTGCTATTTTGCATTGTAGGGTATATTTTAATTTAAAAAAAAAAATAGTTTGGCTCTAAGTTTTTTTTATGTAGAGTACTTGGTGACTGAGATTTGCTCGGGTCAAATGATTAGAATACTCTGAGGGCATTCTTTGGTCAATTTAGTTGATCTATACGTATACTCAATGGTTATTTTTAGCCTCTATGTGGACCTCAAAACGAAAAAGTGAATCGGTCCTGGGTCCAGGTCTTCCCATTAGACCTGTTAAATCTTATTCCCTATATGACAAGTTCGCCAAAAGGGAATACCGCTGGATACAACTATAAAAGACTAAATAAATAGGTCTACATCACTTTTTGCCCCCCTATACAGAGGTGAACACAACTTTGTACCAGTTTTGTGATAAACCACAACAATGCTATGCTGTCGACGAAGCTACCTCCGCCATCCTCTGCCCATTTTACACACATTCAGTGCAACAATGCAAATATTGCAATAGTGTAAATCACTTTGATTGACGAGCGCCAGCATGAAGAGTGTAGTGATCATTTACTACATAACCTAATACAAGATGCTTTACAATAGGGAATGTTGTGAAATTCTACATGAAATAATTTAGTCAATTCGAAATAAATTAGCGCAAACGTGCTGGCTGATAAATCTAAAAACAGGTATGAGTAAGGTTAGGGTTACAGTACTCCATTTTATCCTCTCATTCATTTCACTATTCAACATTGACCTAATTTGTTACTAATTTTGTGGTATAATATGCTCAATGGTATTAATCTGATTCTTCTTTTCTTTTGCTCTGTGTAAACATTTGTTATAAATATTTCATTTACGATCATGAAATAACCGTGATGGCGGAATGGCATTCCATAAGGCCTACAATATTTTTCAAAGTTTGTAGGCCTATGCATATTTTGACGGTAATAGATTTTTGATGGATATAACACTGGTCTTGCACTTATTTTTTAAGACAAACTTAGTTACACCGTAAGTATAAAGGTGTTTCTTGGTGCCGATTCCGAGATAGAAGTACAGTAGAACTCCGATTATCCGAATCTATTGGGACCAGACCCAATTCGGATAGTAAAAAATTTGGATAGTCGGAGTTTTACAGGAATTCAAGGAATTTCCAAGAAAAATCCTCATTTTCGGTTCTAAATGAACTTTTGATTAATAATAAATTAAATCAGAACATTTTTACAGTTTACAATCCTCATGGCACAAGTGTTCTATACATGTTCTTAAGTTAATAATGTTCCATCAAAGTCCAAAATTACACACTGGCTAAATTTTTTTAAAAATAATTCTTTGATATTTTGTGAAACTTATTATTACTGTAGTTTTACGTTTTTAAAATTGTTGAAATAAGTGATTAGGATAATTGGCAATTCGGTTAATTGAAGTTCTACTGTATTGAGTATTCAAACCTTCTCATATTATATATTGGACATAAACAATTACTCTACAGTATTCATTCTTTAATGAGACTTGGAGATGCGGAAACCCAACAGCTGGTTTTGTTTACCATACCTTTATTACTTTTGTGGAAGATTACATAGTATTGGTCAGTTTACCGACAAACAAATTTTGTGAGACTGGCTTGTTTGCCATAGTACGAAAAAAACAAACGAAAGGAACTTATAAAACCTGATACCGTACACTTGTACAATAATGTTTCTGCCATATGCCCCCATGCCGATGACTCGCACACTCAATCATTTGTGCCGCTCTGTCCATTCACATGAACAAACAATTCACAACCTGTTCATATTGCATGGTTTAACAAATGCCGATTTTATTGTTGTACCCCTTTATTTTACAGTATGATACTGCAGTTAACTATTTTTTTACACATTATGTGTGGGTTTGAAACATGTTCATTCACTTTTGTATTATGTTCTCAGTTTACGTTTCTCAGGAATTAAGTACTGATGATAGAGACTTTTAAGTAATGACAAAGGTAGTGCTTATGGTGCCGAGGGTTTAGAACAAGGGGTAGTCAATTGTCATCACATTTCCTTGAGTACTGTGTTGTGTGCCGATTAAAAAAAGATACCTAATACAGACCTTTTACTAACATCTAATACAGTGGAACATCAATAACTTGAACCTTAATAATTCAAATTTCTTGGTAAAATGTCTAACTTTTTCATAATCCCTTGACATTCTGGTTACTCACAATGTTAAAAGTGCCTTGATAAGTAAAATTGTAACGTTTTAAATCAATAAACCTCTATTACTCAAAGTTTCTTGTTTACGAGTCTCGGTAATTCAAATTTAACCTTTTTAAGAAAAGGTTCTCATGACGTGCCTCATCATATCTCAAATGTTTTTTGCTTTACCGTTCAAGTCAGCTGGGTTTTGATTCTTGTTGGGAAGTGAAAATCTGTCTTCTTTTTTGTTTAGTTATCACTGACGGTTACGTTAGCCTCTTAGTTATTGATGCATGTCTGACGTCATGTCAGACATCTTCTTTATACTTCTTCAGCCGTCAGTCATTATACTTCTTTTCTTCATCTTTGACCAGCAGCTGCTGGATGGATTAAGTCAAGACTAAACTAAT